TAGCTCTCCCAAATCTTTCACCTCAAATTCTTGATGGAGTTGTTTGAGAGACTCAATCTCACTGTTATCATTCCCTGTCACTACAATATCATCCACATATACAATAAGCAAGGTCAAGGAAGAGTCCACTCTCTTAATGAACAATGTATGGTCTGACTGGGCCTGTTCATAGCCAAACCTTTCAAGGGCTTGCCTGAATCTATCAAGCCAAGCTTTGGGGGACTATTTGAGTCCATACAAGGCTTTATTCAACCGGAAAACCTTCTTTCCTATGTCTGCATCATAAAATCCAGGAGGCAACTGCATGTAGACTTCTTCCTACAAATCTCCATTGAGGAAGGCATTTTTAACATCCATCTGGAACAAGGGCCAAGAATAATTGGCTGCAAGGGACAATAAAACTCTAATAGTGGCCATCTTTGCTACTGGAGCAAAAGTCTCCAAGTAGTCCATACCATAAGTTTGAGTAAATCCCTTTGCAACTAACCGAGCCTTATACCTTTCAATGGAACCATCAACATTATGTTTCACAGTAAATACCCATCTGCATCCAACCGATATCTTCCCTTTAGCCTGGTCAACTAGCTCTCAAGTATTATTCCTTAGAAGAGCATCCATTTCAACCTTCATTGCATCTTTCTACTTAGGAACTGACAAGGCCTCCTGCACTGTTCTGGGGATAGGAATATCAACAATAGATGTGAGGAAGGACCTATAAGAGAGGGACAAGTGATCATAGGACAAGAACTAGGAAATGCAGTAGGTTGTGGATGTGGTGCAATGCCGTTTTCCATTACAGACTGCAATTGGGAGGTTAAGGCCATCCAAAGGAGGTAAGGGCTCAACAGTGAAAGGTATCTCAATGGAACCTGGATCTGATAAAGGAACTGCAGTACCTGGATCTAGATTCACAGAAGGAATTGGGGCTGGCCTGGACTGCTGATGACCGAAATCAACCTGCCTCCACTGCCTGTGATAGACTCTCAAATCCTGACACCTCTGACACCCCTCCCCATTACATCCCTCATCACTCAATGGAACATGTAAAGGAACTTCTGATGAGTTAACCCCACACTCACTACTCTCCCCCTGAGGAGAAACCCTAGAATAATAGGGTACATCCTCGAAGAAAGTAACATCCATAGAGACAAATCTTTTCCCAGAAGTGGGTTCATAACAGCAATATCCCTTTTGAGTTTGTGCATAACCGAGAAAAATACATTTGGAGGCCTTAGGATCAAATTTAGAACGATGAGGTCCAAGAATCTGAACAAAGTGAGTACAACCAAAGGTTTTAAGGGGAACAGTAAACAAGTCTTTATCARGGTATARGAKGGTAAATGGAGGCTTCATGTCAAGAACCCGTGAAGGAACTTGGTTAATGAGATACACTGCTGTAAGAATAGAATCTCCCCATAAACGAATAGGCACATTGGAGTTAAACATGATGCTTCTGGCTACCTCCAATATGTGCCTATTCTTCCTCTCAGCAACTCCATTCTGCTATGGTGTATGAGGGACAAGTACTTTGGTGGATAATCCCATGGTCAAGCAAATAAGAGGCTAATTGGTTGGTAAAGTATTCTTTCGCATTATCGGATTTGAAGATTTTGATTTTGACCCCAAATTCGGTTAAAATCATTTGACGAAAGATCCGGGTCAAAGTAGGAACCTCATCTCGAGAATGCATAAGGTAAACCCAAGAAAAATGGGTATCGTCATCAACAAACAACAAGAAATATCTGTACTCCCCCCCCATAGCAGTGATGTGATAAGGACCCCAAACATCAGTATGCGCAATATCAAAAGGATTATTACTTCTTTTATTACTCAGTGAATAAGATGTTCTATAATGCTTTGCAAGTTCACAACTCTCACATCTCAAATTGGACATCTGAACAGACTCAAATAGATCGGGAAGCAAACTCTTCAAAGACCGAAAAGATAAATGACCCAACCGATTATGCTAAAGCATAACCTGACTAACAGACAGAGAAACAAAAGACTTCCTATCTTCACTATCTCACCAATGTGAACTCTCTCCAAGCAGATAGGTCCCATTCGTCTCACGGCCAGTCCCAATCACCTTCCTTGTCTCTAAATCCTGAAAAACACATCAGTCATGGAAAGAGGTTACTGAACAATTTTGATGTTTTGTAATGCTACTGACTGAGAGCAAGTTAGTATTAAGCTTAGGGACATGCATAACTGAAGATAAGGACATGGCATTAGACAACTTGATGTCTCCCTTGCCAGAAATGGGAACAAGGGAACCATCAACAATGGACATTTTATCTTTGCCAGAAGATAAGTGATAGGTAGTAAATAGTGATGCACTTGAGTCTACTACTCCCAACAATGTTCAGTGTTACCTAGAGCTAAAGCATGATAAGCTGAGGCCCAAGTACCTGAATGAGCAAAGGCTGATGTGGGAGCTGATGGCGGCTGAGATGATTGAGCTGAATTGCCAACTTCCTTTTTCAATTGAGTCAGGGCAGCCCAGACAGCAGCTAGGGTGTCTAGGGGTGTGCCTTTTGTGCCCGATGAGGAGGCACAATCAGTATTAACAGCTATATTAGCATTACCCCTTTTGTTCCTGAGTTTTGCTGGGACTAAATGAGGGTGCAGCTTCCAACAGGTGTCTTTAGTATGCTTGGGTTTCTTGCAATGTTCACATTACTAGATCCCGCTTGTCTTCCTTCTTTATATCCCTCTCCGTATCACCCCCAGACATAGGTTTGATTGCTGCCAAGGCTGGTGGGAAGGGCTGATGCTGCATCATAACCTTTCTCCTAGTCTCTTCACTATGCACTAAGGAATAGGCTTGTGATAGGGTTACACTGTCTCTTGTCAGTAGTTGCTGTCTCATAATATCATACTCCGGATTCAAACCGGCTAGGAACTCAAAAGCTCTATTAGTCTCAACCTGCTTTCTATGAGTCTGTGCATCATTTTGGCTTTCCCAAGTGTTTCTAGGTAGTCAATTTCATGCCACAAAGATTTCAGTGTAGAGAAGTAAACCGAGACTGGTTTCTCTCCTTGCTTAAGGTTGTTAACCTCACATTTCAGTTCATAAGCCCTAGCAACATTAAGGGGTTGGGAGTAGGTCTCTTTCATGACATCCCAGATTTCCTTTATGGCTGATATGTGGCTGCATAGAGTTGCACAACCATGTCATAACCAAATAGTTCTCTTGAACCCATTTGGTATAGGTTTGGTCCTCCTTAGTTGGTTCTTTCACATCTCCCAACAAGTAGCTCAGTTTTCCCCTACCCCCAATGGCCATCATGGCCGATTGAACCCATTCTAGGTAGTTTGATCAATCAAACTTAACTTTTGTAATCTGAAATGTATTCTCAGACATGTTACCAGAATTGCTATTCCCAAAAACACCTTCCCCTTGACTCTTGAACTCCATTCTTGATCAAGAATTAATAAAAAACCCTTTTTAATTACTGTAATAGGAGAAACAACACCCAAACAACTGATAACAGCCGGCCTAGGTCTTTCAAAGAACACAGAAAACATAATTCTGAATGAAACCAGTTCAAATTCTGATCTGAAACAAATAACAGTTCTGAATTTTAAGGTTTTCTCTCAAAACCCTAAAGAAAACACAAAAATTCTCCAGCCGCACCTCTCAGACTAAACCAAGATGATCTTTTCTAAACAGAATCACAAGAAAAAAGCTTACTTTATGAAAAAATCTCTGGCTGCCACCTTCTGGTTGATGCAAAACCCTAATCTTGAGGATCCAAAGCTTCTTCTGATTCTTCCTGACTACTGGAACTCTCCCAAACTTCTACAGTCTCTTTAGTAGCAGCCGCACACTTCCAGTAATCTCCAAGAATCAGCCGATCCTCCTTCCTTGTTGAAAAACTTCCAAACCTAGGAGGTTCTCATGAAGTCGGCCTAATCAGACTAGCATAAGAGCTCCTAGGTCGGCTTTGATACCAAATAGTCAATCTAGACTACAATCAGTCTTGAATTAAAAAGAAAAAAAGGATGAAAAGTTGAAGAGAAGAAGAGAAGAGAGGAAGAGAAGAAGTACACGAAGAGAGTTTCAGAAAAGAGAGAGAGAAGGTCATAATTTCTGCCGACCCTCTCTTAGTATTTACATAACTATTGGCTAACTGTAAAAGGGCTGAATTGCCCTTATTGCTTACATGGCAAATAACTAATAATAAAGCTGAAATAACTACCAACTAACACTGTCATATCTTAACAGAAATATTGCTGCCATACGAACACTGTGGGGACCACATCAGTGTTCTCTACAGTTGATTTTGATTCTTTATCCTTGTTGGAGTTTAGGCATTCTGTTTGAGGTCTTCCATCTTTTCTCTTAAATCCATGTGTCTGGTTAAGTATGAGGTTATTATGTGGGAACCATATAAGACTGATCATCTTCTTTTATCTTAAACCAATGTTGCTGATTGGTTTTCATTTATCCACCTCATTTGAGCTTGGCAATTTTTTATTATTTTTGATACTTATAATTTATAGTTGCAGCCCCTAAACTTCATTCTTTGGTTTCAAACTTGAGCAACCATTTCCAACAATTACCACATTAAATAATTAATCTCCATTTGTGTACAGAATTTAGAATATGTTATATAATATATCTTTCAGCTTCGTTTAACATGGGAGGTTGATAATCTTCTGTTTAAATCATTTTCTTAAAAGCAAGCAAAATATTTACATTATGTGAATATTAAGCAGATAAAGCTTGACTATGCTAACTGAATGTTCTCACTGGCTTAAGGTTAACTGTATCATGCCATTTGCTAATTTCGGAGAATTTATCATATGATATGTGAAACTTCACACCTTATATTTTACTGCACTAGATCTCCACCATGTTGTAATTCAGGATCTATACACTAAGATTGGTTTGTCAAGTATATCATAGTATGTATAACTCAAGTACTCTTTTCATACTCAAACTGATTCCTCTATGGATCAGAAAGTATTTTGTTTCTGAAACTTGATTTATTCAGATGTAGATGTGCTTATAATCATGGTTGCTAATGAAGCCCAAGCTGAAAGTGTCTTATATGGAGATCTTGGTGCTGTATCAGGTAAAATTTATAACCACAAACAGATTTTATGTATAGATGCACTCATATGTCATAATACATGCATGCATACATCCAATTAATGGTACCCGTTTACTAAAAAAATATTAACAATATGAGGTATGCACAAAAAGGAAGCCATTGACTCAAGACAGAGTGAGGCTCATAGTAATTTCCAACCAACCCTCAACTCTATACCACAAGGAAAACCCAAAATAAGAAATTTACCACAAACTTGATGCGAATTAAATAAAATTCTCTACATGTGTACTTGTTCTGTAGTTGGTTCTTTTAAGCATCTAAGCTATATTTCATGAAGATTACTTACAGTTTTTTTTTTTTAATTTATTTTGTCTTATAGCCCTTCCAGATGGAGCATCCATTGTTCTTTCATCTACAGTCTCACCTGGATTTTTGACCCGACTAGAGCAACGTTTGCAAAGTGAGTAATTTGATTTTATGGTGCCTATGTCTTTTTAGTTCCACTAGTTGAAAGAACAGATTCTTGTTTTGGGAATTAGATGCCAAAGTATTATTTCTAATTTACCATGTTTTTTATTGGATCCTGTAATTTTCTTTTTGTGTCTTCTTCCTGTTAATTCAATAGCCAAAAAGATAGGAACTGTTATAACCATCCTAGTGTAAGGCACGGGGTGCAGCCTTACTCTAAAATAAGGCTAAAAACAGCCAAGAAGAAACAGATAAACAAGTCTATTACATTACAGCCCACAACAATGTATCCCTGTTAACCCCTTGTTTGGCAAGTGATCAGCTAAACTGGTTGACTATCTTCTCACTCATTGGCATCTCACATTCATAGGTCTTGTTAGCCAACTGACTTTCTTTATAGTATCACTAAAAACCCACACAACTGAGTCCGAAGCCAACAACCATCCAATAACCACCTTAGAGTCTCCTTCAATTATTAGATTTTCCACACCAAGTTGACTAGCTAGTTGAATCCCTTGTAATACTGCAATTAATCCAGCCCTGTTAGAGGTGCCTCTTCCCACATGTCCTGAGAATAAAGCTAATTTATTTCTGTTACCAGACAAATCAGGGTTACCTTAACTTCTGCCATCGAAGTTTAATTTGATAAAGCCAAGGTTCAAAGTATCGGAATCACAAGGTGTATCGGAAAGACAATTTTAAGAGACGTATTGGGATACGCTTTGGATATGCATAGATATGGACGAAAAATTAAGATATGTATAAATATGTTAGGAAATTCAAATATATCCTAAAAATATATTACTAACAATAATTATAAGTTTTAAATGATTGTAAATAAGTTATTTAAATGTAAAAATCCATATTTACAATCATTTAATTGTAAATAATTACAATTAATAACTGTTGAAAAATGATGGAATAAATAAAATGTGAGAAAACAAAAAAACCTAAAATATGAATGTGTGTACATCAATTTATATTAACATTTATTAGTATATAAATTTTAAAAATTGATTCTAGCATTTATTAATAAGTATCCATTAAGAAAAGAGAAAATTTACTTAAAAATAATAATGCATATGACCATAACAAATAAATGGGCGTGGCCTAGTGGTGGGTTATGGTTGTTAAAACCTAGTGACTAAGGTTCGAAACTTGCCATTGTTTAAGTCTGTAGTTTTTATACTAACAAAACGAAATTTAATGAGATAGGATCATTAATTAGTGGAGTTAATGAGAGAGTATCATTAATTAGTGGAATTAATAAGAGAATTCGAATTAGGCGCTAAAATTCAAATTTAAATTTAAAATAGGAGTAATTGACTAATTAATGAAAGAAAAGTTAGAATTAAATAGAGAAGTAATTAAAAAGGTTAGTGAATGAAGGGCACCCAAAAAAAATCAAGTGTATCGGGCTGTAGCGGACTGTTTCGGGCCCGTATCGACCAATACAGAGCCGAAACAGCCCGATACAGGCCTGTATCGATGCAATACATACGAAAAGAAACGGAACGGATGATTCCTACACATTCCACGTGTCGAGCTCTTGTCGGAATGATACGTATCGGCCGATACGGCCTGACACGTTGCGGAATTTTGAACCTTGGATAAAGCCTTTGGGGGATGGGACCAATCTACAATGATACTCCGCTTGCAAGAAGAGCTACTGGCCACTTCTGTCCAACCTCACCACAACTCATTGAAAGAGTAAGACTGGAAAGAAGTTGTAGTCTTTTACTAGTGTATTGTCCTAATCAAGATAGTCCTTAACCTCTATCAAAGTTCTTTCCTTATCTTGAAAAATCCTTGTGTTTCCCTCCTCTGAAATAGTCCACAAAGCACAGCTTCTCTAATGCACCTCCACTTTACCTTCCCTCTCTTGTAGGCCAAGCAAAAGCTAAGGACTCAAACAACAGTCTTGCTTCTAATGGCAGATTCCACCTGCACCCGAAAAGAGAAAAATCCAATTCCAAATAGCCAAAACAAAGGAGAAAGAAATTAGTGAATGACAACAGTCCTTACCATTTGATTTGCAAAGAACACACCGATTGGGGGCAAACACATAAAAGGTCTTTTCCTATGCACATTATCCAAAATATTAATTTCCCGTGAAATACTTCCCAACAAAAAATCAGTAACCTTAGGGAGGATAGGCCTAGTCCAAACTTCCTTTATAGGAAAGCCCAAGGAGGCAGGGTTAGAGCAAAGGGACTTAAAGAAGGAAGCAACCAGAAAAGAACCTTTCGAAGAGGGAGATCAAACTCTTTTTTCTAGTTTAGAAGGTTCTAGACAAACATCACCAAGAGTAAGCAGAAGGTCTGAAACACTAACAAGTTCATCATCTCTTAGTCCTCTTTGGAAACCAAAATCCTAGTCCAAAGCAAAAAGAGAGACAGAAGAGGACAGACACCAAGAAACCGCTTCTTTTTTTGTAGAGGGAGGGGAAACGGTCCTTCAGGACTGAATTGCCCACCCAAACATCATTCCAGAATAAGACTGAATTTCTAAAACAAACATCATACCTTATGAATGTGAGAAATTGAGGAAGGATAGTAGCGATAGCTTTCCAAGGTGAGGCCTAAGTAGCCCATCGAGATATACCAACATCCCAGCCATTATTTGAAAGACCATGAATACTTTCAATTACCTTGTGCCATAAACTCTCTCGGTCCAGTGGCCACCTCCATAGCAATTTCCCCAAAAATGCCACATTTTTGCAAGTTAGGTTCCCTAATCCAAGCCCACCCTCCTCTTCTTTTGCTCCCCCAGTTCCCAAAGGATGTTTCTCATCAACTTCTCTTGTCTCTTTGATTCCCTAGAGGGGATCCTTAAAACAGAGAGGAAATACATTGGTAAGTTTAGCTAGTGTGGCTTTAATCAAGGTAACTCTTCCTCTCATAGGGATGTAGTTCTCTATCCATGTCACCAACCTTTTTTCAAAACTTTCCAAAACCAGAATCCAGAACTCTTCTTTGGGTTTGCACCTAGAGGGAGACCTAGATAAGACAATGGCCAAGAAGCAATCGGACAACCTATGGAATCTGCTTTGGAACCAACAACCTATTCATCCAAATTAATACCCACCACATAGCTTTTCTCCCAATTGACTTTCTTACTAGTCTTAAGTCATTCCCATCACAAAAAATTATGATGTCATTAGTGAATTGGAGGTGGGTAATCGAGATTCCATTCCTACCTATTCTCTAACCCCTGATAACCTCCTCCCTATCTGCTTTTGATATTAGGCAACTAAACACATCAGCTACTAGGGCAAAAAGGGAGAGAGAGGGTCACCTTGTCTCAAACCTCTACGGACTGAAAAAAAGTCTTTGACCATACCATTGACCAAAACTGAGTAATGACAAGAATTTAAGCACTCCTAGATCCAGTCAAATGGTCAAACCATCTATCCCTAAACCCACAAAACCCAAAAACCTCTAGGAGAAAGGACCAATCCACCAGATCATAGGCCTTTTCTAAATCCAGCTTACACACAAAACCTTGATAGCTAGATCTCCTCATATCTTCCACATACTCATTAGCAATGAGGATTTGATCATAAATTTGTCCTTGCACAAAAGCTCTTGAGTTTGATTAATTAAATTGGGAAGCACCTCTTGCAGCCTCAAGGACAACACCTTAGCTAAAATTTTGTAGATACTAGTCACCAAACTAATGGGCCTAAAATCCTTATGGTGTAAAGCTTCAAATTTCTTAGGGATGAGCGTTAAGAAGGTAGCAGTAGAAAGGTTTGGACAACCTGTCTTGATATAAAAACTGTAAAAGAAAGTAGAAAAGAAAGAGAAGAAAAGGTTTCGGCTAAGAAAGATAGAGAAGAGAAATAGAAGAGAATGGGAGAAGCTCAGAATTAGGTCTGGCCACCCCTTTCATTAGATTATATACTCATAAATAAAAGAGAGTACAAAGACAAGTATGCCCTTAGTAAGCCGGCTACTTGTGAGAACTTAAAAACACTTTTAACTTAAAACATAAACTAATGGGCCTTATGGTTTCAAATGTCGCAACATTTCGCTAATGTTGCCTGACATATGTCGATGTCGAGGCTAACCGACATGAAAATGGATGGTAATATAAAAATTACATTATTTGGGTCGACATTTCCTATATTTCGGAAATATCGACCAAATCGGCCCAAATAACCAAGAAAAAAGACAATTTTTCCTATTATGGCAACATGATGGCGACTAATGTACATTAATAATATAATATATTAGTATACTATATTAATATAATACAGTATATTAATATAAATTATTCCATTAATAATTTCTATTTAATATTTCAAATAAAATATTTATAAAAAGAATTAACAAAAAATAAAAACAAAAGAATAAATTAATTACTTTATAATATAAAACATAAAATATTCTTCAAGTAA